AGAGAGAATAGAGAGCTAGCTTTACTATAACCTATGTTCGCAATGTGAATCTATACTAGCTGTCAAAAACTAGCTCCAGTGCTAGAGATTTTAAATTTTATTTTTTTCACTTATAGATACCATCGTTTGATTTTTTATTGATTTGACAATCTTTTAAACATCTAATAGAATGACAACTCACATTTTATGTCTCTATTGATCTAGTTTCCAAAAACTACATGACTTTCTCGGTGTTTGTTTTACAACTCAAGTTAAGAACTTAGTTGTATTTATGAGAGAAAAATACTATAGTAAAAAAGTAGAATTTGAATTTTTATGAGAAAACACTATAGCAATAGAACTTGAGTTGTGAAAAAGATAGGAATTCGGCTCACATGTCCCCTTATAATTAATCTTATTAGAAATTCAGCCCACATGTCCCCTTATAATTAATCTTATTAGAAATTCGGCCCACATGTCCCCTTATAGTTAATCTTATTAATGTTCCTTCTTGTGTACCCCCGTAATAGTATGTCAATTTACTCAAATATTGCAAGTGATATGGTATTTTAATTGATATATCATGATATTTTAATTGATATGACATTTTAATTGACATGATTTACTAAGAGAGAAGACATGAATAGCATGTTTACTTACTATGATTGAGGAATGAGAGTGGAGAATGAGAGTCAATCTCATGTTTACTTGCTCTTTTTTATCCTATAATGAGAGTAAGATTAGTGGGCCTGACTCAAATTTGTGATTAAGGAATGAGATTGGCACTCAGATACCCCCTACGGATTGAGACTCCCATTCCTGATATTAATATTAAATTACTATCATGCCCCTATTTTACTTATAAATATAAAATTAAAATAAAACTCAAAAAATAATAATTACAATATATATTTATTATTTTATTGCCTAATGTTATAATATCAACCTAATTATTATTAACTTTAATAAAATAAATATGTACTTTATTTATTTAATAAATTAATAAATTATTTTAATTTTTTAACATTATTTGTTATTTGTTATTTATTTTATTTAAATTTTTTAACAATTTATTTTTATATTTTAAATAATTGTACAATTTATATTTATTATTTTAACACCCTTATTATTACACTAAATATTTTAATTATGATTAATTTTAATATAATAAGTACAATAATTTATTTTTTAAATTAAAAATATAAAATTGACTTAAAGGGTACATTAGTACTTTTATATTATTTCATTCTGATTCTAGGTGCAAGTAAACGTATGAATAGGATTTAGAGTGACTTTGATTCTGTATCCTGTCACCAAGTAAACAACTTATTCTGACTTTGATTTTCTCACTCCAAATCTTACCCACTTTGAATCTTGCTCACTCTAATTCATGCCCATTTCAATTACGCGTAGATAAACATGTCAAAAGAGATATAGGAATCAAGAGATATGGGAGATGAATCTAATAAATAGCTTTCAAATTATTAAATGACCAAAAACCATGTTATCCTTCTTTTTTTTTTATTACAAAAATTGCTTTGCATTCTACTAAGTAAAAGTTTTCAAAAAAAATCATATTTAATTTTTTCTCTTATAATTAAAATTTTTACATAAAGTTACCTATCAATACAAATTAAAAATTTAAATTATTGAATTGAACGAGACCTAATTATATAATAGCAACACAAAAGTAATAGTGCAAAATGTTAGCATTATTTTTTATTTTTGTCACAATTTACATTTATGTTTGATAGATATATTTTGTTATTATTTTATTTAAATAATAATATATTATATTAATAGAGTTTATACGTCAACAATAAAAAGAAAAACAGTAATATTAGTATTTCTGGTGTATCGAATTAAAATTTAGTTGAAAATTTGAGTTGAAAAATAATTTTACGAGAGCTTAAAATTGTGAAAATAATACACAATAAAAAGTTGAACTTAAAATTTTATTTTAGAGAAAATTTTGCTTGAACTGTGATTCAAGTCGTGAAAAACACGGCCTGATACGCCACATAAATTGAATGCAAATATGGAATGAAGCAAAACAGTGAGCTAATCGGAATTGAAAATCAAAGCAGACCCAGAATCCAAAATCCAAAAATGTCAACTACAACTCTATCATCCCCCTTAACTAAAACCTCCGCCGTCAGTTTTCCTCAGCTTCAGCTTCATCTTCTTCTCCATCCATGGCGTCCTTTCTCTTGTCCTTCTTCTCGAAACAAGAGCACCTGGGGGAGATGGACCATCACCACCGGCACCACCAAGAGGAGGAAGAACAGCTTAGTTGCCGGCGCCGCCTTTCCCTCTGACCTCTCCCCTCCTCCCATCGATCACGATCTTCTCGTAAGCTCCTTTTTCTCTTCTGGGTTCTGTTTGTTTTCCTAGAAAATGACCCCAGGAAATTGAAAATTTGCACTGCAGGAGAGCTTGGAAACTGCAGGGGCAAAGGTTTCGGATGACGGGGTCGTCGAGACTTTTGATAATGACGATGAAGCTTTGGATGCTGCCTACAATGGAGTTGTGGTGGGTTTCTATTTTTCTATTTTTTTTATATTCTTTTTCTTTTTATTGTTTCCATTTTATCTTCTCGCAAATAGAATGGTTAATGTTTGTGTTATATATCATGCTTTTCTGGGTCTGGTATTAATTGCTTTTGTTTTTCAGTCTTGAACTTCATTTGAACTTTGTACATTTTTATGCTTTTTTTTTTTTTATACCCAGAAATCCCGCGAAACCCACTTTGTGAATCCGAGTTGATGACGTTATTTTTTCATATTAAAGACATCAGTCACAAACACACACATATATGTATGTATGTATGGTATAGTAATTTTAGTTCGTGTCATGGCAGCAATTGCTCTTTCCCAGTAGTCTACTCATAAGGTCACTCGCAAATTGAAAAGAACATTGGCAGTACGTGTAATTTGTGAAGTTAATTATTTTGGAGGACTTGTATTAGTCAAATGTAAATGTTCTTTAACTTTTTTTTTTAATAGTAAAAACAAAACAACATAACCGGTACTTCTGTTGTGTGATTTATGTTATGTCAATACTTTTCCTGGCACTTGTTATATTGATATCTTTTTTGGCATCTTAATTGCTTAGGTAGTTGATCTTTCACATTTTGGCCGAATAAGAGGTACTTTGCCCTTGACCTTACTATTCTTTCCGTTTTATGCTTTTCATTTTACATGTGATGTAGAAAAACCCCAGAAAATAATTTTTATTGTAATACATAGTTAGAACTCGGAGAGATATAGACAACTGGTGGTACGTTGAAAATTGATTTTCTTCAACACCTCTAAAGAAATCCAAGTGCTCTCCATACAAATTTTCCTTGGCCACTTCAGTAGTCACTCCAATATTTAACTGATGCTTGCATAGTTTTCAACATCAAACAGTGTCAAACATTGCTACTTGGAAAAAAGTGTCAAATGTTGAGAAGCGGTTCATATTTGATTGTAGCAAGTTTCACCATGTATCTCCTTATGCCTTGAAACTTGTAAAGTTATTGTTTACTCTTTACAATTTTGAGTCGTAACAATTTGTCAGTCATCCCATTCAAACTGCTGCAACTCTGCATTAATCGGCGGTTAGTTAGTTAATTGCCTGAATTAATTTCACTAATAAATGTCATGGATCAATTGATGTGCAGTCAGCGGAGAAGACCGCATCCAGTTTCTTCACAACCAAAGCACTGCGAATTTTGAAGTTCTTCATGAAGGACAGGTATCCGATGGAATATATTGTCATTGAATGCATTTGTGGAATTGGAAGAAATTCATAATTCAAGGCTTGTTCTTATATTTATGCAAAAATACAGGCTAATAGGATTTCTAATTGAAATCCATAGGGATGTGACACTGTTTTTGTGACACCAACGGCTCGGACAATAGATATTGCACATGCATGGATCATGGTAAAGTTTCCTCGTGTTTAGTGGTTGTGTTTGATTTTTCTGTTATTTAGGAATTAGTACGGTCAACCTAATTAAAATACTGTTTTGTGTTCGTAGAAAAATGCTGTGACTTTAGTGGTTTCACCTGAGACTTGCAGGAGCATTCTTGAAATGCTGGAAAAGTAGGTGCATTTTGTTCTTGTATTTTTACTTGTCAAGTGATATTTTGTTTTGCTCCTGAAGGACCACACTTTCAGTTTTTATCCAACTTAAAGGTGCTATTAAACATTCTTTCAGGATATTTTATTTTGTTTTTACATATTATAAACCGAAATTTTGTTAAACAAAGAAAAGGCATATTGTACAGAACATCAACTTTGAGGGTACTTTATACATTTTGTCACCTTTGCACAGTCTCACTCATAGGTGCTGCAGTCATGCTCTGTCTATGCTTTAGACAAGCTCATCTCTCCGTTCTCTTTGCTTTCTCGTCTCCCTCGTCTTTCAGGTCTTAGTTGACTGACATGGATGTTTTATGCTTATTTCCTCTAAGGAGGGTCATAGAATCTATAAGGATATTGTTTAATAGGAAAATATAGGTACACTAGAACTCTGTCTGAGTCAAGGGGAACGTAGTGGTTTCCTTTGATGCCTCAATCCAGATATTCTGAAAACTGAAAAGGAATTTTTTCTCCGCATACTATTTGTTTGATTTCTGGAAAGAATCATGATTTCTATGAAATACAAAAGAGTAGAATGGAAAGGGGGATTGTAATCCACCATAAGCCTTGAATATTTGTATCCCAAACTTGCCAGACTAGATATAGATTGGTTTGAAACCTAGTTTTACTAGCCCTGTGATCAGTAGTTAGGCAAACTCATTTTGTGGGAATGAAAACTTTTGGACGCGTTTGGAACTCGTTCCAAAATGATTTTGTTTTTTGTATGAAAATGAAAATGAAAACGTTTCTAATCTTAGACAGAAATCATTTTTGAAAATGCGTTTAGTAGTTTTATCAAAAGATTGTTTTCACTGTAAAAAAACCCATTAATATCTCTCTTTCTCTCTCTCTGCTCGAGAGAGGAGAAAACGAGAACAAAAAATGAAAAACAACTAAAAGTCGTTTTTTATTTCTCTCTCATTTTACACTAAACAAAAAATCGTTTTCATTTTTGTTTTTATCTTTATTGCGCTAAATGCCGTTTTGGAAACATTTTCATTTTTTCTTTCTCGAAAAACGTGAAAAAAAGGGGATCAATTCCAAACACGGTTTGTTTTTTGTTTTTGGTTCCTTCCAAGACAATAGTTATTCTCGGGAAACTAGGCTTGGTTTAACGTAGAGAAGAGAGACATTCTTCCAGTTTCTTTGGCATTTACTATAATATGGGGGCTATAAGCTATTACCTTGAAGCAAAATATGCCTCTAAAAGCGGAATAACACAAGGCGTCAACTTATTCACCTCATTGTATTTACCGAGTAGATGTGGACCGTGTAGTATAATATTTATATATTTTTTTAATGTTCAATATCAGGACTAGTGTCTCCAGGGGCTGTTGTAATATTCCAATCAATTTATTGGTTTCATATATTTTCCTCATAAACTTCATCGATCAAAGGACATATGCAGTGATTCTTACACTTCTTTTTACCTCTTTGTTGTAGATACATATTTTTTGCTGACAAGGTAGATATCCAAGATATCACCAAGAGAACTAGCTTCTTTGTTTTGGTGGGACCTAAAAGCAGCCAAGTAAGAGATGTCACGACCTTTTCATATATTAGACAACATTCCAGTATTTGATCACCATGTTTTCTTAATATTTGTACTTGTGGACCAAAACAGCTAATGGAAGACTTGAACCTGGGTAATCTTGTTGGACAATCATATGGGACACATCAGCATTTTAGTGTAAGCTTCAAGGATTTTTAGAGACTGAGTGAGAAAGTAACCGTTTCGATATACTTGTGTGCCTTGAATAGTAATATGATGAATCAGATCCCTTGTTACCTTACAGGTTAATGGGATGCCCGTAACTGTTGGGGTGGGAAGTATCATTTCTGAAGATGGTTTTTCGGTGTTGATGTCACCAGCGGCTGCTGGAATTGTCTGGAAGACTATTCTTTCCAAAGGTGCTATTCCAATGGGCTCTAATGCTTGGGAAAAACTAAGAGTTCTTCAAGGTAGTAAATAGTGACCTTTTCTCTGCAAGAGTAATGTTTACTTAATCTCATTTTATATTTCTCAAATACCAGCTCTCTTTTTCTTGAGTATGCACCATTCAAGTTTCCCTAATAGTTTTACTCTATTAAGAGAAATTCTTTTTCCAGTTTTTTTTTTTTTTTTTTTTTTTTTGGGTGTGGAAATTAGCTGAAACTGGAAATGCCATTTCACATTTAGTTGTATTTCATCAAACTCTACGTAATTGCAAATTAGGCTGCTTTGATATACAAACTTCATATAGAAAACATCTTTTTATTTGAATGTAGAGTCGAGAAATCCAAATTAAGTCCATTACTGTTACAGTTGATTTGCAATGAGCTTATTTATTTAGTCTAACTTATGAAATTTGTTTGACTGAGCTACACCTACTACTTTGTGGAAATCTTGAAATATAGATGGAAATAATTGCACAATTTTGTCTCTCGAATGATTTGGATGAAATTTCTTTCACCGAAATAACTTTTAGTGCACATTCTGAGCAGCAAACTGATTCCAATAATTTTTCTGTTTACATCTTTAAGTTTCTTAAAGTGTATAAAATTTGTGTACATGCTTTCCCGGAGTCTGATGAGAAACCATTTTTGCTTGTGTTTGAATTCAAACCCTTTTAGGAATTTCACTTTACAATTTCTTAGTAATGTCATTTTGAGTAGTAAAGTAACTTTCTGTTCTGGGTCATCTAGAGAGAGAACAGATTCTTTTAATTTTTTAATTTTTTTTTATTTTTGGGATAAAGAAATGAGAACTAAAATTTATTAATAAGAGTGAATGAATACAACAGAAAAAGGACACTAACGGTCCACAATGGAAAATATAAAACCCTATAAAAGGGAGGACCAGTCTCTGAAAAGGTCTAAAAATAGAAAGTTACAAGACTCAACAGAATTTTTGAAGGAAAAGAAAATTGTATTGATGCTCCCTTTTCAAGAAAGCTAAATATTTAGCCACTTTGTGGGCTTCTACTGATAGAGTTTTAAAAGGGCTTCCCTTGTGCTGAGTTGAAAAGATGTAATAGGCTTTTAAAAGTCTTTTCTTCCGGGGTTTCTTTCTGCTTGCTTTTCTTTTTGATTGCTTTCACCTGTGGACTTCTTGTCCTCGGTGTTTTTGTACTGTTTTCAATTTAACGCACTGCAATTTCTTAACAAAAAAGTTGTTTTATGTTTGTTGGGCTAATCTCTTGTGGCATAGTAGACCAAAAAAAGAATGAACTTCTCTTGAGGTAGGAGTGGAATGATTGTGTTTACCCTTTCGTTCCAAAATTGGAATGAAGCTCGAGGTGGATTAATTAATCGGAAAATAAATATAAATCGTATTTCTTAAGATACTTTGTTTTAGTGTAATTTTGTGTTGTTTTAAGAAGTTCCATTTCTGTGATTAACTGACCATCAACCTAGCTTCATCTTTTCAGGAAGGCCAGCACCTCAGAGAGAGCTTACTAACGAATTTAATGTCCTTGAGGCTGGTCTCTGGAACTCAATCTCTCTGGATAAAGGTATCTAGTTCTTGCTTAAAAATATCCGAAAAAGAAATATGGTAGCATCACAAGTCTAATTCCTACACACTACAGGGTGCTACAAGGGACAAGAGACCATCTCTAGACTCATAACGTATAATGGCGTCAAGCAGAGACTATGGGGGATTTTGCTTTCATCAGCCGCAGAACCAGGCAGCCCTCTTGTAGTTGATGGGAAAAAGGTACCCTCTGCTTTGTTTTTCACTATATTCTACTGCAATTGATTAATCGGAACGAAAATTACATCTCAGTACCCTGTGGTCTGTGCTTTATCGAATTAGTATATTGGTAGCTTAATGTCTAGATAATATCAAGTTGGTAGCCCATACCTTTAGAAAATGTCATTCTAGTACCCCATGTTGTTTTTTGGGACTTAAAATATATGCCCTCGTAAATAAAAACACCAAAGCAATTTCATTAATACAAAAAAGTCTAAATATAAATAATATCAAGAAAGAAAAAATGCCTCTATGCCCTTTTTTTAAGAATGATTTTGGTTCTCTCTCTCTCTCTGTTTTTTTTTTTTTTTTTAGGGGGGGGGAACTTTTTTCCTAGTGGTTAGAAAAGACATTTCAAGTGCCAAAAAACAACCTCTGCGTACTCCAAGGCCATTTTTTGAAGTATGAGGTGCCCATTTGATATTATCTAAACACTAGGTAGCAATCCACTAATTTGATAAAACATAGGGTACCACAATGTAATTTTTCCTTAACACTAAAGTATAAGAAGAAAAATGTAAAAACATAAAACTTTACGGTTTTGGATCCTAGATAGAATTTTCTTATTTTTTTAAGGGGGAAAAAAACAAAACATGTTAATCATAAGAGGAATAAAGAGCTTCAGGGTGTGTGTATTATAATCAATAAAATTTGAGCAGGTGGGGAAGCTGACAAGCTGTGTGCCTGGAAAGAAGGACGGTTCTCAATATGTTGGCTTGGGTTACATCAAGAGACAGGCTGCTTCAAAAGGAGACACTGTAATTGTTGGCGACAACGTTACTGGTACATTGGTGGAAGTTCCTTTTCTTGCCAGGCAACAACCAGTATCAAAAAGCTCAAGTTCGTAAAGTCGATTTATTTAAAAAACAATTATCTAGATTACTAAACAAATCTCCATTATCTATCTGCTTGATTTGTCAGAATTCGTTCGGATAAGTACATACTCTTAGTGCTTGAAGTAGGAGTGTTATAATGCTCTAGAAGTTATGACCACCGTCTATATAAATATATGCATTTGTAAGATTTAGACATGCATAGTGAATTTGTAGAAACGCCCCAATATTATTGATTTTTCATGTCTAGATTCCAACAAACATCTATGAAAGAACATTTACTTTTCCTTAAAAAGTATTTCAATTCGATTCCAAAATTTGACTGATGATGGTTTACCTTTCCTTTTTTCTCCCCCATTCTGTTTTCTACTTGTAAAGAGTGACGAGAATTGTGAGAATTGGCCATGGGTTGCTTCACTTGGAAGAAACCTGTGTAATGATGAGCTGCCATTCTAGTCGTTGTATTGTTGTAGTTCACTTAAGAGGCATCGTCTGTTGTGTTTGTAAGATTATAACGGCCGTGTTTGGAATTGATTCCATTTTTGTTTTTCACGTTTTTTGAGAAAGAAAAAATAAAAACGTTTTCAAGACGACGTTTGGCGCAATAAAGATAAAAAATAAAAATGAAAACGGTTTTTTAGTTTAGTGTAAAATGAGAGAGAAATAAAAAATGATTTTTAGTTGTTTTTTATTTTTTGTTTTTGTTTTCTCTGCTCTACGAGAGAGAGAGACATTAATGGATTTTTTATATTGAAAATAATCTTTTGATAAAATTACCAAGCGCATTTTAAAAATGAATTCCGTTTGAGATTGAAAACGTTTTCATTTTCATTTTCATACAAAAAATAAAGTTATTTTAGAACGAGTTTTAAACGCGCTTAATATTTTTATCATATAGTTATTTGTAAGTTAACAATCCACTCTACAGAGTTTTAACCAATGATTCTTTCTAACACGTCATCCAATTGTTCCCAGCAAATCTCTTTTAGAAATTCTGGTTTGGTTTTTTTTTTTTTTTTTGGGTTGCTGAATAAAAAAATTCTGGTTTGCTGGACAGAATCAGTGTGGATGTCCTTAGGGAAATAGAGGTGGAAGGGGATAAACCTATTTTTGTTTTTTGTTTTGTTTTTTGGTATGGATTCTCTTCTCTAATCTCTGAATATTTTGAAAAGATTAAGATTGGGGTTTTTCGAAGGATTTGAAATTATTCAACCAATCCATTCCCTCCTACCAAACAGCTATGGTTTCGAAATCCTTCCGCTAAATCTTTTCACCTCTATCTTTCCTACAGCTTTTCCCTCCTATCAAAGAAGCACTTAGTTCAAATTTGTCAGGCACAAATTCTGATGCACAAACACTTTCATTTTCCTCAATTGTTTGCTGTTTTGCAATCGCATTTTGTAGTTCATGATTGCGTGACATTGTTTATAACTGAATGCCAATTGGGAGTGTTCATGCAAACTATTATATGATAAGACTACCATTGATCAAGAGTGAAAACTAGAATATTCCTTTTCTTCTTTAACTACTGTACAAGCATTTGAATTCCCTACAGAATGATAACAAACAAGAGAAAAGCGACTATTGAATTCGACGATCAAGAACAATCTTGCAGAATATCAACAGCTTCCGCTCGCTGTTCATCGCTCAGTTCCGCTGGAAACTCGACAAGAAACTTGATCCGGAGGTCGCCCCTCCTCGATTGCTCTTTAGGGTTCGGCATGCCCTGTCCTCTTATAACCTTTTCATAGCCCGGGTATATGATATCATCAAACGACAGTGTCATGTTGTCACCTCCCAATAGAGGGATTGGGATTGAGCATCCGGTGAGAGCTTTCACTAAAGGAATCTCAACAACTATTTCCAAATCATCACCTTCCCTTTCATACAAAGGGTGTCGTTTTTCGTCTATCAACAAGATTATATCGGCCGGAAGATAGCCTGGTTTCTCATCTCCCTTTCCTTCAAACATGATCTTCGTTCCTCTTCTCCATCCAGGCTTCACAGTTATCCATAGTACCTCTTCTTCTTGGACAATTACCCTGCAAAACTAAGAGCACGACTTGCAAACAAAACTTGTGTCTTTAAAACTAAACTTGTAAGTCTAGATATTATATTCTCCCCCCAAAAAAAAAGGTCCATACTAGTTATTACTAGCAGATTATCATGATCAATCAATATGTAGCATTATTTATTATTTTTAATTATTCTTCTACTTATATAGTGACGTTTCTGAGGTTTTTCTAGTACATATTATGTCAATTTCTTTCTTGTCATACATCAACTGACTCACGCATATCACAACCATTTCATAGCTACTTGGATTCAATCTTGACTGTCTATCTGAAAGAATGAAAATGTCCACATAAATGGTAGAAGACATTCTCTAGTTCCTCAGAAAAATACACGAAAAAACGAGGATTTTATCAGGAAAACAAAGCAAAAGAGGGGAGAAGAAAACGGGTAAGAGTAACAAACCCGGTTTCTGCGATGACATCTCTAGTAATCTTGATCTTCTTCACGCAACCGTCGAGCAACTCCTCGAGCGCGCATTCAAGCTTTCTCTCGACGGGGGCAGGTTTCTTCTTCGCCGTGGATTGGGAAAAGACGATAGGAGTCGTGCTCTGCGTGCTCTTATTTCTCGATAGAAAGGCCGTGTGGATGTGGGTTTCGGGTGTGCGTCTTCTACTCATGTTTCTAGGAAAAGGGTTCGAGAATTCCTTCTCCTCCAAGGCACTTCTTCGGTGATTCATGTCCCTTGAAAAATTTGGTGTAGGTGTTTTACATCTCCTACTCGTGGCATTCCTTGACAAAAATGAATTAGAACGTGAAAAGAAACTGTCATCTACGCTCTTGTGATGATCAAACCCTATCGTTGTTGGTTCACTTATCGTCAGCTCATCATCTTCGTCAAATCTTTTTCCCTTGATAGCCTGAAAGAATTGAAGGGTACGTAAAAAAACATGAAAATTTCTCAGAAAAAATGAAAATTCAAAAGTTTCATTAAGCTTTCAGATCTATTTCTAAAATCCTATACGATAGTTTCTTTCTCGGAAATTCTGCATGAAAAATGTGACTATTGCTGGCACGCACGTGATTTTTGCATGATCTTTTTTTTCCGTCTCTCATTTTTTATTTTTTTGCGTGAATTTTTGTGGGCAGATTAATTATGTTTACCTTGTCGTAGGCTTCGTTGATGGCAGTGAATTTCTCTTGTGCTTCTTTTTGATTGAAGGGATTCTTATCAGGAGTACTCCATTTCAGGACAAGGGATTTGTATGCCTTGCAGATTTCTTTAATGGATGAGGTCGCCGTTATGCCGAGGGTGCTGTAGAAATCCGTCTTCGGGGAACGGGAATGATCCGCCATGATCAGATCAGAAGAAGAGATGGAGCCAAGCTAGGTGGAAAAGAACCCCGTGGAGAGGGAGGGAGATCCAATCATGAAGCCAATTAAAAGCATGAAGAAGCGATTTATTAGGGAGGTTTTTTTTTTTTTTTATTTTTTTATTTTTTTTTTTTACATGGAAGTATCACATTCACTCGGATGTATTTGTTTTTGAAAACGTTAAATACTATCACTTATTTTGTATATAATTTTGATAATGGTAACCACTTACAGAAATATAATTATTGAAAATTAATTTATATAAATATTTAGTATATAGTTTTCAATGATTAGTTTTTTATCGTTGATTACTCATCAAATATAGATATTTGATGATGTGACGTAATAAGAATCTATTTTTATTAATTCTCATAATTTTTTTAATCAATTATTTAATTTATTATAACCGTCGAATCAATATCTTACTATTAAAATAACAATACCCACTATTAAATAAAGATTAGAATAACCATTAAAACTACACTCGTAAATGTGTGTATATATATATTAAACTTGGGCAAATCTACATCCACTCTTGTTTTTGTATTTTTTTTACACGTACGGTTCAAGTGCATATGCTTTGCCCAATTGTATTCCGATGCATGCTTGCATGTATGTTATGAGGTTATAACTAAATTCGTATTTAAAAAGGACTATGACTTGAACATAAAAGAGCAGAAAATGGAGGGATCAAAGGAAACGGAAAAATGCAAAAAGCCGGAGGACTTAATAAGGAGTGAGAAAGATTAAAACGAGTAGAAGAGGGGTTAAATGGTGGTCTAACAGAAAGGAAATTTTTTTTAAAAAAAAAGTGATTGAGATTGTGGTTAAGAGTTTTTAACTCCGTTTATTTCACTGATTCGAGTTTAGAATTCAAATTTTGCTAGAGTAAAAAGCTCTCAGAAACAACAACATTTAACTTTTTTGCTACAATAAAAAGCTTTCATATAAAATTACATCTCAACTCAAATTAAAAATTTGAATCAGCGAATTAAATGAGCCATAAGTGTTGAGCTTTTTTTTTTTTTTAGGGCTCTAAAAGAGTTGGTACTAGTAGCCTAGTGCTCAATTTAGCATACTTGGGATCAGACGCCCACACATAGTGCTAGAACTTTGGACGGGCCGCCTGCGACCGCCCAAAAAGCCCGAGGTTTTGCCCGAGCCGCCCGCCCGAGCCCGAATTTCACCTTGAACGGGCCGCGGGCTTGTATTAGGCCGCCCGAGCCTTTCAAATTGTAATATATATATATATATAAATTGTAATATATATATATATATATATATATATATATATATATATATATATATATATATATATATATATATATATTACAATTTATATATATATATATATTACAATTTGAAATGAACACACGAACTATATAAAAAAATTATTTCTTTATTAATTTTTAAATTTGTAATTCATGATTGCCTCGTTAAAAACCTTACCAAGAAAACCCAATTGGGATAAAAACTTGGCAAGGAAAAAAGAGTGCAATCATTTTGTGACGAATTATAAATTTTACAAACTTACAAATTTATTAAATTACAAATACAATGTAAAAAGTAAATACATATTTACAAATTACAAATTTACAATTTAATTTGAAGCTGAGGGATCGTCTTCAAAATTAAATGTTAATCGATTAAATTCATCAATCCATTCTTGGCTTGCCCGTGAAATTGTATCTTGTAGACGTTGTTCGGCCCGATTCCAATCCTTAATGCAAACCAAGGCTTCAACAATATCCCTTTACAATGCATTCCGGCGTTCCTTAAGTATTATTCCTGTCGTACTGAAGGCTTGTTCGGATGAAACAGTGGAGACTGGGATCGAAAATATATCTATTGCTAATCGAGTTAGGATTGACCAAGTTAATGCCCGTACCCTCCACCATTGAACTAAGTCAAACGATTTTACCGCACTGCTGACTACTAAACCTTCACTGAGGTACGCCATAAGCTCGTTGAAGCTGCTGCCGCCACTGCCACTTATTGATGAAGATCCACTTCCACTCACAGCTTCCGTTTGAGTTGTCTTCTTCTTCTTCTTTAACCCGAAAACATTCAAGAATGAATG